CGTGAGAGGGTGAAACCGGGTAATACGCAAGTGCCCGTTGCGTTTCCCCCCCCCCCCCCCCCCCCCCCCCCGTCACATGTAGGTGTGCATGCACTCCACGAAATACATTCCCCTCCCCCTCCTTCTGCTTGTCTCGTGCCAGTGGTGCGTGCGTGGGCAAGGCAAACATGACATCAGTGGCCGTGTGCGTGTGTGTGTGTATACGTGTAAAGGATCTATTTGGCGGAGGTTTACCTTTTTCCCTCCTCGCCACACGGACACCCGAAGGGGAGGCATATGTCACTCGCTCATCCGGTAGCGTAGCAACCGGAGGAGGGCATCGTTGAAGGCCAACAAATCGTGGTGGTACTTCTTCCGGAGACGTTGGCGCTCGGCCTCCGACGGGACTGCCCGAACCAAGGCATCGAAGGTGGCTGTGGGCGCGGGTGTTATGCAGAGACACGGGCCCGCCGCCAGTGTCAGCATGATGGGCATCTTCAGGGAAAGGCAGAATGGCGGAGGAGCAGGGAGCAAAGAGAGAGAGAGGGAGGAGGAGAGACAGAGGCAGAGTGCCGGGGGGACATGCGGGGGAAGGGGAGGTACCAAGGAAGTTCAAGATGTTGACGCGCGCCCGAATGACATCCTCCTGCTGGCGCGTCCGAAAGGCAAGGTCGCCGGATTTGCTGGATCCTCATGGGTTAGGGGCATGTCGGGGAGGGGGGAGGAGGGGGTGGGGCGTGGCACGAAAGGAGGGAGAAGAGGGTGGAAAGTGCATTCGCGAGGGAAGGGGGGCGAGGCAGGGCAGGGCAAGGCAGGACAGGGCAGGGCAGGGCGGACGCGCACAAGGCAAGCTCCATGGCGTTGACAATCTGAAACTCATCGTCCTCATCCGAGTCGTAGCCCTCGCCATCTTCGGCACTCTGGCGGAGGAGAAGTTCCATGCGGGTGGGCCCGCGGCGGACCGTTTGCAATGCGCCCCCAGCTCCGGGGGTGGTGCCGCCCTCGGTGAACATGGACTCGTGGAAGTTCTCGTTGAAAAAGTGGCCCGCCGCATCGGCCCCATGGAAGTCCTCCTCGGCCGAGGGGATCACCTCGTCGGGGTCCTCCTCGCCCTCGGAAGCCCCGCGAGCCTGGGTGTAGTCCACATCGACCGGGCGATAATCGAAGGTCCGGGTGTTGACCGGCGAGAAGGAGATCCCATTGACGATGCTGGACAGTGAGGATCGGCCCCCGGCGGGTGGGGTGTCCTCATCGGCCGGGTCCGGTGGCGGGACATTGGACGCAGAGCTGGCCGCACGCGTGGCCAAGGCCGAGCGCACAGCCCGAAGGGAAGCGGCCCGGCCGGGCGCTGCCAGCACGGCCGACTGCCGACAGAGGGCGCCGAACATTGTATCGGGATTTGCGGAGAAGCGAAGACAGGAAAGCCAAGTGCGCGAGAGGGAGGAGGCGGGGAGAGTGCGCTATGCCGGCGGCCCCGGCTCGCGAGATGGAGGCCTCCTCGTCAAAAGCCCGGTCCTGCGGCTGCCGAGGAGGGGGAGAGGGGGGGGG